TTCGTAGACTAGAGTTTACCGTTTAAAAGTACCCAAATCAAGTTTGAGACTCATATTTAAAATGAGACAGATTCAATTAGGTGGTCAATCGCACCTAAATAAAAAAAAGAATGATGGTAACTCGTAAAGTCTATGTTTAGTGATAGGTCCATAAATCTATATGTTATGATAGTTTGGTGATTCCACTAGGGATATCGAGAATCAAGCCAGTAAATAATTTCTTATTATCCAAGTCTATTTAAGAAACTTAAGTTTTTTTTTTGTATTAATCTTTTATTATACTTGTCATTCATTTACATGTGCATAACATGGACTCCACACCTGAGTTCTGTTCCTTATGAGAAGTAAAGTACCTATACCTTTGTAAGATTTCATGTCTCCATATAGGCTAACAAAATACTCTCACTCAAATTAAATCATTTCGTTTGTAGCTTATAATGGGCAATGATTGGGGTGCTTTATTAGTTTGTGATGGATAATGATATAATAAACAATTTGGAAACCCTTTAGAAGTAACTCAAGCTACATATAGTTAATCTTGTAAGCTTAACCTGTAGGTAGAGCCATGTTCCCTTTATCCTTCGTAGCTAATCCGAAATTTAGAGTCATATTGTTCTTGTATTATATTTGCTTTATTGTGCTTTTTCTTTATTTATATTGAGATAATTAATTGATTTCTTTGTTTATTATTCTTTTCTCACATATTTATAAACATACATACAGATTGCATATTATTCCTACCCTAAAGATATCTTCAACAAAAGCTTTCATGAAAACCATAGAACATCAAGTTTGTGCTTTATTTGTATTCTTCAAATGTGAGTTACCTATTGATGTGAAAGTAAAGTAAAAAAAAAAAAGACAACGAAAGAAAGGGGATTATTTATCATTTGGCTATGTCTCTACCTTATTTAAGGAGTTTTGAGTGCTCTTTTAAGTAAAATGATTTGAAAGACTTGTTAGCCATATGGAATAACATGGTTCCTTTAAGATAACAAGTTTTTTGTCAGAAGTTTGGGCATGTTACACATCTCTTATCGGTAAATATTAAAAATTTACTCATTAAAGATATGGTACAATTTTAAAATCCCTCCTATCATTGTTTCATTTTCAATGAAGCTGATTTGGTGCTGACCATAGAGGAATATTCGATTTTGGTAGGTATGCATCTCCAATATCCATATAGGGCATATGTGAAGAAACAAAAACTAAGATATCGTAAGAAGTTGGCCTACATTTTAGGGATAGAAAAAGAGTTCATAGATTCACATGTTCAAGAAAAAAAAGATCATAAAGGTATTCCATGAAAATTTTTACGAGATTTCATTGTTCAACATCCTGATGTTGACCAAGAAATAAATGTGTTTGCTCTAACAATATGTTAGATGGTGATTTTTTTTTAAAGTCTTAGGCCATATTGAGACAGAAGTGGTAGATTTGTTTAAGTACATTGAAAAAAAAATGTTATTTTTCATTGGCAATAATGGTAAAAACCATTAGATCATTGAATTTTTATAGACAGAATAATAAAGCATGCTTTTTAAGTTGCACACTACTATTATATTTTTGGATGAAAAGCCATTTTAAATGTAAAAAGAATGCCTTTTCCAAACTTTATCTTCATAATCAAAATCTAGTTAAAAAGTTTTGTGAGAGCGAATGGCCAGAAGTAAAGTTTAAGAAAGAATAGGAGTATTTGTTGTAGAAGCTCACAACTTGTTAGGTAAAATAGTTAGCTCCATGGATGAATCAAGAACTTATATTGTACTAATGTAGAGATGAGATAGGGGTTTCACTTTTAGGCTTATGAGGGTCAATAAGTAATGCATCGTTGATGGTGAGAAAACAATATGGAGCTGATGGAGATGATACTTTCAATCTCATAAATTTTGATGCTGTGAAGAAATATTTTGCTTAAAAAAAAAAAGAGTTCAAATAAAAAACCCAAAAGGACAGTTTGGACTAAATAAGGGTTTATCTAAGTTAAAAACCTAAAATGATAACTTGGATAAGGTGAGCATAGTATCATTGTTGTTGTTGTTGTATTACTACTACTACTAATAATAATAATAACAATAATAATAATAATAATAATAATAATATATTATTATTATTATTATTATTATTATTATTATTATTATTATTGTTGTTGTTGTTCTTGTTGTTGTTGTTGTTTTATCTTTAACTATTATTTCACTTAATTTATATTCTTAATATTATTATTATTTCTTAAATGCCTTTGTGAATTTTGTTTTATTTCTAAAAAATGACCAAAAAATGTTTCTAAAATAAATACATGGATCCTACCAAATTATTGAGTATTTTTCATGAATTTAAATTTTTATAAATTCTACCAAACTATTGAAGAATTTTATAAATCAGTTTCTTATTTTAAAAATAATAAAATATTTTATTATTAATAAAATATTTTATTTTGATCTTACCAAATTATTGAAAGATTTGCATTTTAAATTAAATCTTATTAAATTATGAAAAGATTTAATTCAGTTTTTAAAAATAAATTTATAAGAAAATCTCATCAAACTATTGAAAGATTTGCATCAAAGTAAATTTTATCAAACTATTAAAAAATTTTACTATTTATTTTTATGAATAAATATATTAATGAATCCGACGATGGAGTCTTTTACGGTAAGATATTAGTTTTCATGAATACTCTTGAGGTGAGATAATCATCTTAAATTACTATCAAATTATTGAAATAATTTTAAGATCAATTTTTAACATTAAATATTTTGATAAATTATAAGTATGGTTAAGGCTTAAATAATTTAAAATCAAATAAGTACCATCTTTTAGATGGATGCGATGATAGTGTTATAACTTTTCTTACACATAATTGGATTTTCAAACTTAAAATCTAATTTTGTAGACTATAATTTATTTTTTAAAAGTATTCAAATAAAGTTTGAGATTAATCTTTAAAATGAAATAAATTCAATTAAATAATCAATCATATTTAAATAAAACAATTAATAACAACTCTTAAAATTTCTACGTTATGAAATTTGCTTTTGCTTTTTTTCTCTACCCCTTTGTCTCTTAGCTCGATGAGAAAGAGAAAAAGATAGAGATAGAAAGCAAAGTAGAGAGCCATCCTAACTAACGATTTGAAAGTTGGGTCATTTCTCTTTTGCAAGTTACTAACATGGTGTTGACTGATGTATACACGTACAATATATATCGGGGCAATTTAGAGTTTGAGATGAAGAGACAGCATTTTTTTTTTTTTTTTTACAGACAGCAAAATTGCTAAAAAAAAAAGACAAAGAAAAAAGAAGTGTGGTACGTGCACCTTCGCTCCTGCAAATAATGATACTTTTAAAGAATGTCTTCTTTTTTTCTTTTTTTTTTTTAAATAAAAAGTGTCTTATATATATATATATATATAATAAAAATGACAAAAAAAATATGGCAATTATTATGACCACAGTGGTAATGGTTATCGCAATTAAATTCATCATCTAAGATTCGCTCTTGATCCACCAAATCTATTAATTTCTTCATGATTTTATATATTTTTCAAACAAATTAATACATCATAAACAAATATCAAATTTAGTCAGATTTATAAAAATTTCAAGATTTTTTCCTGTCGCGACCGGCTAAAATTTTTAATAATCAATAAACAATTCACTCCTATATAGAATTAATAACTAATTACTGATATCTTGTCGATATTTTAAGATTAAGAATAGGAAAAAAAAAACTTCATTAATTGTGAAGGTACTTATGAAGAGATTCAAATCTTAAAAAAAAAAAAAAAAGACTTTTCGAAACCTAAACATTAATAATCCATACGAGCAATAGGGGTTGATGTGTGTTTTTCCTCACAATATATATGTAAGCTCCCTCTTTCCAACAAGCTGTCAATTTGGGGATTGAAGACTAGCTAGCTCTCTTGTTAACATCACAATAAGTACTGATGGGAACATGTGTTTATAAGAGATATATGGTAAAGAAAGAAAAATACCCCTCATTTATATTTTGAAAACAGCATTGAGAGCAATATGATTAATATCCTTTTAGTAAGTTAGTAATTGAATTTGAAATTTAATTCAATTAATTTGTATAATTATTATTAAAAAATAATATTCAGTAAAAATTTAAGATTAAAATCTTAATATTTGTGACTTTTTTTTTATATTTAAACTGTGACTACTTTTATAAAAAAATATCTTTTGAATTGGTTCATAGATATATAATTTAAACCTTATGGACCTCACACTGTGGCATGATATTTATTTATTTATTGCTCAATGGATTATTTTGGAACTTTTCCTTAACCCTGATTTATTTGGCTTCATCAAAAGAGAATTGGTCAACTAAATATAGACTAATCATTCTTTAACACCACCTAATTAGTAATTAATTAAGTTTCTTACCTCAAAATTAACTCACTTAATAAGAAATGTAGTAATATGTACATTACAAAATAATATTACAGATATTCATAAAAAAACAATAAAAATAATAAAATTGAATTACATTTGAAGCTGAGATATAACTTGATTGGTGATTGCACTTTTCTCAAAAAAGAAACACTTTGAGTATTATACATGCTTTGAAAAGTTCTAAATCAAAATTTCAAATATCAGTTATTAACCATTCTAATCATGTGATCATATCCTAATAAAATATAACAATAAAAGAAAGAAATTTGCCTCAATGTTATTAATCATTATTTTATGAAGTCTCCTTAATAAAAATCTTCTTGGAATATATGTCTACATTGCTCGTCTCCAAAAATACAAAGATAGAAAGAAAAAAAAATTAAGCAGGGGGTGTGGTAACATAAACTTTGAAGATCATAGGAGGTGTTGCAGAACGTTCCAATACAAACCAAAAATTCAAGTGAAAGGAAGCAAAGTTAGTACTTTGACAACCTAGACTGCCAATGCCACTCCCATCTGACTACAACTTGTGGCCTTGTCAGCCCTAATGGGTCATCCCCATTTGTCCCTTGGCTCACTCCTCCGTCAATCCCCTCTTTATAGGCCCCACTTCCCCCACTCCTCATAGCTGCCTTCCCTTCCTTTGCCATTTCTCTCTGTCTCTCTCTCCACGTTACCCTCCTTTTCTCTCCGTTTCCCTCCCCTCGTTTTGCATTTCCTTTGCAATCACTTCAATTCTCAGCCCCAAAGAAAAATACCCCTACCGCGCTCTCTTTTTTTTCTTTTGTTCTCTTCTACATGGAGAAGAATGAAAGGGAAACTCACGACTTCATGAACGTAGAATCCTTCTCTCAGCTTCCCTTTATCCGTCCTGCCCCTTTTAAAGAAAAGGGTATTCGTTTATTTGGCAAAGAATTCGGTGGTGACTCAGCTACAGCTAGTAACGACTCAGAGTCAGCTGAGAACAACGAAGATACGACCAAGGAGAACGAGCATGGAGATAGCAGCAGAAGAAGATTTGAGTGTCACTATTGTTGCAGAAACTTCCCCACATCCCAAGCTTTAGGCGGTCACCAAAACGCTCACAAAAGGGAACGCCAACATGAGAAACGAGCTCATCTTCAGTTAGCAATGGTGCACAACTCTTTATCTGATTCTCATATTTATGGGCTTGTTAACTACAGGCTAGGCTCAGCTCCAACACCAGCTATGACTTACCCTTCATGGAACAATAGCATTAGCAGTAGTAGCAGTAGGTTTTATGGGAACCACATCTCTCTTTCTCGACCACCCATCAATGGTAGCCCACTGGGGTTATGGAGAATCCCTGCTACGGTTCAAAGTAACTCGTCTGTCAATCGGGACCGTTCGTCTTCGCATCCGTTGCCTTTGTTTGCTGGTGATGAGTTGACGCCGTCGCAGGTTGTTGGAGGTGGTTCAAGTTCCCAGAGTCGGTACGTATATGAATCAAAGCCAAGCTTGCAAGACCATGTGAGTTTGGATCTACATCTGTAATAATTTGGTAATAACTTTTGATTTAAACAGAAAAAACAAAATCTTTGCTCTGCAAAATGAGGAAATTATATATTCCCAGCACACCAAATCTTCACTTTTTGTTTTTTAACTTCTTGGATTTTACCTTTTTTAGTATAATTGCATATGTAAATGAAATGATTTTCAAGCTCATCATTAATCTCAAACAGCCTATGGTGTAACCTAAAAAACATGAGCTGAGATGTGAACGTACATCAAAAAAAAAAAAAAAACTCTTGCTCTCTTAGGTTATTTTCATTTGGTTAGAATTTTGGAAACATTTTCTCTTGCTTTTGAAAGAAACACCCCAAAAAAAAAAAAATCTGTGCTGATTTAGCTTTCAAAAGCAAAGGAAAAATAATTCCCTATTCCCAAATGCTAAAAGCAGCAGAATTCAAGGTCATCATTTTTTGTTGATCTTTTTCTTTTTGGCCATTGTTCTTAATTTTTTTTTCAAGATTATGAAATTTAATTTCTGTCATCTCTTGAGCGATTAAGGATCATTTTACAGTTGCAATCTATTCTTCCCCATTTCAGAAAACTTTTCACACGTGTGAGGAATATTGTTTTCGAAGTGGCTATCAGTGACAGTGAGGAGTACATGAACATCTCTGTAGCTACACACGTGTACACAAATCTATATGTTGTCTGTCTGAAACAGGTGTGGACGGTAGAGGTTGAGAGAAAGAGAAAGAAAGATTTAGGGTGTGGGTTTTTATTCAGTACTGAATAGAGAACAAAGGAAAAAGATATAATCAGAGATGATGATAAATATAAGGATTTTTTTTATACATATATGCTTCCTTTCTCTGCATGAAAATGCAGAAAAGAAAATTTTTCATGTCAATTTCAGGTATAGGATAAGACATAGGTTGCCAAAATTTATTACTTATGTTCATCTTTTTTTTGGTCTTGCTGATGAAAGTGTTGAATCAGAATGCAATATATATATACATATATATATATATGAACAAAGAAGTTTTTTTTTTTTTTTTTTAATTTTAGGTTTAGTATGTTTGGCGATCAAACTTTAAATGATGTCTGATGATCTGCATAAAGATCCTGTCATGAGACAGAAGCTGAGGGAACAAAGGTGGCAATTTTAAAGGCCACAACCTGATTTATGAGAAATCCCACCCAATACTTTTATATATATGTTTGAAAGCAGCAACTAAGAAATGATATTAAAAAAAAATCTTACCAAAAAAAAAAGAAAAGAAAAATGTCCTTCGTCTTATTTGAAATCATATGATTTTTCAGGGACCATTTTTTAAAATGCAAAGACAAAAAATCATAGATGAAGAGAGAAGAGAGTATAGACATAGGTAGGGGGGGACCTGACATTGATCTATAAAGTAAACTGACGAGTGATTTGTTTTGTTGATGAAAAAATGTAGGGGCTTCGAAGGGGATGGGTCATTTTTTTTTCCTTAAAATCTGCAAGGCGCAAGCACATATATACATTTTTTTTAACTTCTCAGAGGGACAACAGCACAATCACATCCATGGCTTTTAAAAATGGTAAAACCAAACCTTCCCCTCTCACAAAAGGTTTTGTGTCTTTTTGTTTTGCACTAACAGAGATTTTGATGAGTCAAAGGAAGGGAACATACGAACATGGCAGTTAAGTCTGCCATCTTTATTTTCTCACCTTTTCTTTGTACCTTTGCTTTTATGTCTGCAAAGGAGGGAGGGAAGTTAGGTGGGTTAGTTTTTATGGGTGAATCCACAGAGAGGAAAATGCTGTAGAATTTGAAATTCTTGGCCAAGGAGAATTAATAGCAAATTTTTTTGAGAATAACAGTATATGCCAATCAAATTAAACTCCAAATTAAAAAAAAAAAAACTTTTTTAACAAAACAAATATAAGAAATAATAAAACAGTGAGAGTTGGTACTCTTCTTCCTTGTTTATATTTTTAGTCTAATCTATCTGGCAATTATGGCAGCCATTAAGCATCACTATCGACACGGATCGATCAGGATTTCTGAGGGTTGCTAATGTACATCATTTAATGAATTTATAACAAACTACAGATCAGAAAAAAAAAGGCACCTCCATTTTATAAAATTTACCGTATATATATGTAAGCTTTGCCTCTTCTGTTTCATGTTGGGATCCATATTTTGTCTCACAACCCGTTTTGCAAGAGTTAAAGTCTGCCCGGAAATCACATGCAAAAAAATATTTAGTTTTTCTTTTCTCAATTCCTTTCAGCTATAGCTCTTTTGAATAGGAGAAATAGCTACTTGTATGTTGTTCCCGCAGGTAGGGTTCGAGAGGAAAACCAAAGATATCAATCGAAAATCCCATCCAAGAAACCCATAAATAATGAAAATTTGGAATTCTTTTGTTACATTTGGAGTTTTTCTATAAGGCCAAGATTGCAATACCAATAACATTAAATGTGAATTTCACTTTATAAAGTAAAAGCCAATTCTAATATAAGATGGTGAAGCTGAACTACTAGACTGAGCAGCTGCATGCATAAAAAAATGAACGTCTTCCTGCTAGAAACTAAACCCCCAGGTTTCAGCAAGGTCACTTGAAGCAACATATATATATATATATATATTTATATATAAAGTGTTTATTTTGAGAAAACAACAATTGTTTTATCTGCCTAAAAAAAGGTGCATACTGCCTAACAGATTCAGCAAAATGACAGAACCGGTTTGTGTAGCTCACTTCAAAACAGCTGCAATGAGGCTTTCTTGCTTTGAGTTACGATTTGAAGATTGCATGTCAATTTTTCAACTTCGAAGCAACTCCATTGTTGAAGCAATTCGTAATAGTAAGTTTGGACAAAAAATTTTGAAATTTTGGAACATTTTGAAATACATCAATCCAAAATAACAAAATTTGTAATTGTATTGATTGAATAATTACATTTTAGAAAGAAATTTTAAATATTAGAATTTGATAAGATAAAAAATAATTATAATTGATAAATAATGATATCAGAGATAGAAAAAGCATAATATTAAATTGTGATATGCATGTCATTTGTAAAAATGTGTAAATATTATTAATAATATAAAAATTAAAAATATATTTTATAATAAGTTTTTGTAGTTAAATTGAAAAAAAAAATTGTCTAAGAAAATATAATAAAGGAATTTCACAAATTTTATCCAAAAATCAAGAAATTTCACAAATTTTACCTCCTTAGTTGGAATTTTAAAAATCAAATTGAACCTTCAAAATTTTTTATTCAAATTCTAAAAATTTTGATAATTCTAATTTTAATTTTTACAATTCCAAAAATCTTTCTACAACCAAATGCACCGTAAAAATCTGTTAAGGAGCCCTTTCAAGCAAGTGCTAACTTATCGATGAAATCTAGTCTTCTAGCACCCTATTTCCAGTCCTGATTACGATGACATAGGTTATTCTCATTGCTTTTTTCTCGTTTATGCAGACATGCTTACTCAAAGGATTGTTGAAGTTAAAACTTTGCTCATCAGGTGTTATCTTATTGTTAGCTTCTTCATTTATTATCAATTAATTTTAAATTAAATACTTAATTTAGTATCAAAAAGGAAAGCTTCAAACGTGGAAAAAAGCAAACCCAAAGACGCTTGAGTTAACAAAGCAATTCAAGCTTGTATTTTAAGGGATTTATTTGCATGAAGTGTGAAAACATGATTGGTATAAAACTTTCATTACATGTAGAATTAAGTATATTTTATATTCAAGTTAAGTCTTTTACTTATCGCATATTAGCTCTAGGTTGATTGGTTAACTAGGCATCGGAGCATTTTGTTTTGTTGTTTTTGTTTGTTACCTTTTTCAATTTATCACATGATATGTTTCTTTTTGCCTATACATGATAAGATAAGTTAAAGTCATATTATTCTACATGAATTAAATATTAAATTTTTTATAATTTTATATTCATGTTAGATTTCTTCACCTGTTATCAATTAATTTTAAATTAAATACTTAACACAAAACACAAACAAAATGATGCTCATATAAGAAATCAAAGAGATAATCATAAGTTCCTCCCAAAATTCTATTACCATTTGTTTTTCTTATAATTCATTTGTTCAGATTTTCAGTTTTGAGTTTTCTTTGTTTTTTAATCTAAAAATCCCATAAATTTTACCTAAATAATTATATTATATATATGTAAGTTGCCCTATCTCATGATAGACCTCCAAGCTATCTCTTTTCCAAGAAGCTAATGAGGGCGTGCATCCCTTTCAAAGATATCTTGAAAAGCTCTCAAAATGAAGTACATATCCTAAATCACCATTTCTATGTTCTCCTTTTACTTGGTTTTTTTTTTTCTTATTTTTTGGAAGGGTATAACGCTAATCTTCCCATACCAGCATCGAATTAACAGGAATTACGTGCATTTTATGCGATGGAACAACTCAAATAATTAAGAAATTTGTAAGAGAAGTCATCAACATTAAAACAAGTCCCAAAAATATAAGAGATGTCTTAGATTGGCCAATGATTGTATATTTTCACCTAACAAAATTTTAAGCATTCTCTAGAACGTTATCAATCCTAAATCATCATTTGTATATGTTCACGTTAATTAGTTAACGTCACATCAAACCTAAATCATCATTTATTTATGGGTAGGTGATTTGAAAATTGAGTGTTAAATTGTTAATTTTTAACGAATAAAAATTCAATCCTGAAAATTTAAGTAAACAAAAACTTTTGCATAACCCAAATTTAATTTAAAAGGACTTAATTATACTGAAAAAGACTATTTGAAAAAATCTGAAAAATTGAACATCAAACAAAATTACTGAAGTTATCGATGAAATCTCCATTTGTAAACGAGGGTATTAGTTACTACTGAAGAAATGAACTATAAATTGTTTTTGTGAGGCAAAACAGATGCAAAAGCCTTTTAAAGAACTTACCATCATTTGTGGAAACCCTAAAAATTTTAGTCAAAATTATTAATGTGATTTTAACAGATGTTTAAAAATCGAAAAAAGCTTCATCAGTAGACTCTTCAAAGAGAGCAACACCAAATGGTACTTGATTAATTTCAACTTTACTTCAAAGATTTAGTATCTGTTAGGTGGGCCCTAGAAACAAATAAGAGAAATTCTTTCTCCATGACTCTATCTACTAATGTCTAAGATAATAATAATGAGACAGTAAATCTAACCCTTAACTCAATTATTTCATGTAATCACTCTTAATAAATATTATTTATCACGTATAAAGTTTAAAATTCAATACCTGTAACTTTTCTTATCTCCAAATTATAGTCACCTTTATAAAATAATAATAATAATAAATAATTATATAGTCACCACTGTCTTTCCACCTATGCTCTTCTTTTTCATTCAAATCTAACTAACCTCTCCATTATCTATATCTGTATATGCTCCAATATTAGATTACCATCTCCATTGCCAAGAAAATGCAATCTCCAAAATCCCATCTTGGAAGGGAGAAAAAAAATACCAATCCTATATCTTACTATTCTTGGAAACACAATTATTTAAAAGAGACCTAAACCTAATCAGTGCACCAAGTTAATCTAGTAATAATATCCAGGTATTTGATGGAGGATAACATTGAAATATAAGAACAATATATATATATAGTACTGTTTAAGAAAAACTAAGAATACCAAAGAATTCTTTTTTCCAAGTTCACTGTGTGGTAGCAATCATCAAAAGGGCAATAATAAGAATAAGGTATTTATGGTGGCATCAGGACAAAATTGATGAAAGGATGCTTGGAAAGACAATACATATAAAGACATTGCAACTCACTGATATCCAGTAATTGAAAACTGTAAATACTGCTACTAGTACTATATATATTTTTTAACGTCTAGCTCAGTAACTTGGCTAGGGCACACCTCACCGACCAATGCGGTATGGGGAAAAGACCTTTCTACCCTAGTATTAAGTTAGTTAATCCACTTAATTAACATGCAACAAAGGGGCAAATTGGACCATTCGAAATTATATACTTTCAAAATAGGGTGGTGCCTTTGTTTTTTTTTTTTTTTTCCTGCTTTGAAAGAGAAATCAAAGGACACTATAAGAGTCAAGAGTGTTAACATCAACCCCAACTATCTAGGGACCCATAAGTAAATGTAGAAGAGGGGGCATGTGATCAGGAAGGATGATCAAAAGAGGCAAATAAATTAAAGACGACTGAGTACACACATTATCATTTGGACCACTTTTTTTCCCTCCATTGCTCTCTATATTTATACCAGAGAGGAGACCAGTGGAATTCAAGAAACATCGGCCCACACCCCAATAAAGTTTCGAAGCGAGGTTGACAGTTTATACGGTAGCTCACCTTATGTTAACCTGCCTAGTAGGTGCAAACTACAAACCTCACACAACTAGGAGAGTCCCCCACCCTTCCCCTTTCATAGTCTCTACCGGGTGGAGAGTTCTGGGATGTAGGGTTAGCATTTTGCAATAAATGCCACCAAACTTATAGGCCATGTGGGAGGATCCAAAGCCTTTGTTTGGCTAGCTACCGCCTCAATTTGATTTAAGGAATTGAAGATATAGATATGCAACTTATTTTGAATATCCAAGTCACGTTCTCAGACGGTCAATAGTATCTATGATAATAATATAACCAAACATGTTTTCGGATATCTTATTCCTTTCAGCCTATACATGAATTAGGATAAATTTTTAGACACTCATCCTTTTAAGAAGAAATGAGATTCTCAGTCTGAACTAAGCAGATGACATTACTGCAATATCAAAACCCAGTAAAGAGATACAAGATTGCCCACTAAAATCATTAGTAATCCTTCAAAATCTCCTAATTCAAACAAACTTTTAATTTCTCATTACTTCTTACTCCTATTCTCTTTCTTTTGCTTTCTACCTTTGCTTTATTTCTCTTCTAACATTGTTTTCAAGAGCTTTCTAAACACTCAAATCCACGTATGAAATAATACCCATAATTAAATTGACTAGGATCCATGTTTTTCTGTAACCATAAACTGTTGAGTTTTACCGAATAATGAAAGCATCTAATTCATAATTGCACAAGTTTCAGTCAATTGGCCCCAAATGCAGCACAATGGGCAATATATAACCAAAGTAATCAACATAATAATGAATTATAACAGAAATCCAGAACTATCTGATATTGTAAGGGCCACCAACTGTCATTAATGAACTTGTTCCGAAGCATATACCTAATATTAATTAATCATAATAAAAGGAGCAAACCTAGCAATGACTATTGCTGATTGTAATAATATCTTAAACCAATTAAATTTTGCACTTGCTTATACAACAGAAAAAGCCCCACATATGTTACTTTAACAATGAGAAATAAGTAGCAAAGATCTGTGCAAACAGATGGAAAGCAATGACTATAATTTCATATTCACTATATGCCAAGCAAGATGGGGCCTACAGATCCCTACTTGGTTTGCTTCTGCATAAATATGATCCGCCTAAAAAGACCATTTTTATATAAAATATTTCTAGGAACCGTTATTTATTAAAAAAAAAATCTAAATCTAATACAAGAGCCAGACCTAGTAAATTGCCATCACTTCACTCAAAAAGGTTTAAATGCATGAACGTCATAAGATAACTAAGTCCAGACAACTCATTGAATCTGGTCTGGTCCACTGCCCAAACCTGTTGCCAGGCAGCATTGCACAAGTAAAATTTTCTTCCGTTTCTATATCAATTTTTGTTGTACACCTGATAAGAGTAACTGTAAGTTGCCTCTTTAAGGACTAGATGCATTTAAAGATGACTACTATGCAAATCAAGTAACAGCTATGGCTTCCACATTCATTTACTATACAATCCTGACTAATTTGTATAGGAAGCTTGCAAGCTTACACGAGCATCTGGAATGCAACCCTGAGATATAATAAACTAGTAAGCTTTACACATGCATTTTTAACCGTGGCAGTTGCTGTTTGTACCAATACACAAGGCAACTGGCATCAACCGAAACTTGTTCAGAGTAGTTTTTATAGTTCTCAAATTTAATAAATAGTGGTACTCTATTCCACAGAAATTTAGAAGTTTTTGGATGTAGAAAACTGGAGATTCACATATGCTAACAGTTTTAGTATCATATCTATATTTTTTAGCTGGAAAATTCAGCACATAATCTCTTAAAAGAATACCCTATGAAAATGATTAAAGTTTTAAATATTTTAAGTAAATTCTAGTGATACAGCCAGTAAGAACTAATCCTGACATTGCATTACCATCTCTTAACAACCCTGAAATTTCCCACCAAGATGGCAACAGAATTGAGCTGTTTATATCAACGACTAATCTAGCCAAACATGAGTTTGGCACTATGCTCAATTAGCCAATTTTACGAATTTCCAGAATTACAGCTAAAATCAGTAATAGATTCATCCAAATCTGATAAGCCCCGCTTGTTGTTTAGAACAGATTTTCTAAACTCTATCTTAAAGCATACAGCATCCTTGTAGGTATAACATCCAACCAAAGAATGGAAGCGATGGCATCTGGGAGTTCATTAATAAGATATTAAGAGAGACTTCTTGTTTTTCCTTCAGTAAATGATATCGATACACCAATAAATTCCACAAGATAAGATGTCAGTATGATGTAATTAGGATGTTACTAACCTCACATAAAAATAAGCAATAATGCAACCAAATGAAAAAAAATCTTAATAAGATACTACTACTATTATTTATTAACTTCAGAAGTATACACATTCGTCACTTGAAGGGAAAAAGAAAATAAAAAATTACAAAAAAAACCAAAAGTTCCATGCGCATAGGTATTGTATTGCTTACATAACTGATGAAAATAGAATCTCTAGAAAATGCACCAGCAAGGAGTCATCTTAGCCTTTCTTGTTGACTCCGAGTAGTGTAGGTCTCCTCAATGTGTCGCGTGAGGAGTGAAATTCCATAATGTGAGGCACTTGAGGCAGCATAATAGGAAGTCACAGTGAGTTGTGCAAACTTTGGAAGTGCATAACCTAAAAATTCACATATCAACAGCAAATTAAAGTCTATATAGATCACACAAACACACAAAAAGTGATAATCATTAAAAAATACATTCTAGTTCTCAAGATTGGTGCTGACAGGAGTAGTCATTGCAACTTAAATGGAACTGTAAACCCAGTCTTAAGCATAAACTACCTAGATTGCCAAATTGAGTCACTACAAATGAAACATAACTTAACCACAAAACATGAATCTCAAACCAAGGAGCCTTGTCTCTCAGATTTCACAAGAAAACAAATAGATAAGTAGGATGAAACTTTCCGGCAAAGAATAAACGTGTCTTCTAAAAATCTTTAAGGTAAAAATAGGACAAGGCTAGAAAGGTACGAGGAGACTAACTTAAGACTCAAATGCTAACTGCAAGAAGCCAATTGCTAAATGCTTTGACAGACAACAGCAGCCTACTACCTATTTAGCTTTTTAACTAAATAATTAATCCAATGGCATGGTGAATTCATGGACAAACATTGCATGTTCTACTTAACGCATGATGTGCAAGGGAAGTGTGCTGGTTAAAAGCGGGTGTGAATAGCAGAGTAATTCATAAAAGAGAAAATATGATTTAAGTCCTACCAGAGTACCAGCATACTTGAATGATTACCAATTATATAACAAAGGAATTAGAATTACCTGTTGTTGATACTGACGATGAAAGTTTATTGTACTTTTTTCTAAATTATCATTAATGGGTTATCTGTTGTAAATCTTTGATAAGTTTTTCCTAAATTAATATGTTTAATTGCTCTTTCCTACTTGAAGCGGAAGGTAAAAACTTGAAAAAAGAAAAAACTTTGCACAAATAAGATCAAGCTTTGTTATCCAAGTTGAGAATTATCTTATAAGTTACAACTACTTCATATCTGGAGTGAAAGGGCACACTCATACCTCCAAATGCTGCACTGGCGCCTGAAAACATCAGCAGCAGAGGAATCTGTCAACAAAGAAGATAACAGAATTCAATTAAGTAAGCTTTAGAAGATGCAAATAAAAGCATTCTACCAGCCATGTAAAAGGGAAAAATGAGTTAGAGAATTGTCACAGTTTGAAAGCATTGGAATGCAATTAGAACACAGAAGGGGCATACCCCAGTTACAAATGGGAGCCACTTTGGTCCCTTAATGTGATTCTGAAGGAATGGGATCCCTGAAAATAGAAAATCATAAGAGATGTGCATGCAAAAGCCAAAATGCAAATCTTATGAAGACAAAGGAGGCCAATAATACCTGTGTTGAAACCATGTACCGCACTAAGCATTCCCCCAATACCAGAGCCAGCCTATTTGAAAACAAATAAAATAAGTACAATTAGCTAAGCAGTAAACACTATTGAGCAAAAAAATAAATTTAAGTATTTAAAAAAAGGTAAATACGAAAATATATGCAACAAATGTCATAATAATCTACAATCTTTCTGCACATTAACTTAATTCACAAACAGTCCACCGTAAAATGATTGCCATCTTATGGTTATGGTCTACACTATGATGATCTAGAGCAAGAAGCAGCGCAATAGACTAGATTGAAAGTAACCATATTTTTTCCCACCTCTAAAAACATAGATCCTCTGAAAAAAGTCATTAGTACAATCTATAATTTTCAATTAATATACATAGTTTCTTATTATAAACCAAATTAAAGGATTTCATCATAACAAGACTAAATTGATTGATAATGGTATCTAGAAATAGAACTAGAATGATTCAATTGCAGAAACATAAATTTTATTTTCAAATCTCAAAAGGCGTGTTCCAACTTGCATAGACACCAACTACTTATCCTCCTTTTTTTTTTGTTTTATTTATACATATAAAAAACCATTGGGCTTGAGCTACACATTAAGTGGTAGAGGTCGCACATCCCATAACCCCCAAATTCCATCTCCTCAAGATCCAAACATGAAACCTCCATATTGAAAATTCAAGTTCTAACCATTGAAGGTATGCCCTTATTCTCTTTTTTTTTAAAGTGTGGCTAGTAGCAGAATCCTATTAGATATGAAAAAGAATAGCAGAGAAACACTTTCTAACTAGTCTAAGCTTGGAAATAATAGTTATCAAATCTCAGCTAAGGTTTACAGATTTCCAGTACAAAAACAAAGAACCATGAACCTTCTGCTCAACCGAAGGACCAATAACACAGGCAAGTAGCCCTAAACTACAAATGAGAACATTGGATTATATATACATACATATATATTTCTTCCCGTTTTCTCTTTTAGTTTGAAAGTAGAACAAAAGAAAAACGATTTAATCAAAGAAAAGATGATCCAAAGAGGAGGAAAAGAACTGACCACTGCAGTGGCATCACGTAAAACTGAAGTAATTGTCCATTCAGCTTTGTCCTGTTAAAAATAAATAAATTAATAAAAACAGAATCCCATAGTCAAATCTTTTGAGTTACAAAATAGAGAGAAAAAGAAAAGAAAAAGAAAGAGAGAGATGAATCGATTACGGAATCAGGGTTTAAGAGAGAGAGACAACGAGGGCAACGAGCGGAACCTAAGCCAGGTTTGATGGTTGGATCATGATAGAGATTCCCATTCCTTAGTTTTTCCTCGTATACCTCTCTTGTCCCCATTATCCCAAACTCCCAAACCTTCTCTTCTTAAATTTTGATTTCTGTCCTGTTTTCACCGCTCCCAACTCCCAACTCCCCACTCCCAACTCCCAACAGATTGCCTTCGATCTTTCAGTCGTGTTGAAACCTGAATGCCACCTGATTTGGGCTGTGATCTTTTATAGACCAACTTTTCCTTTGGATCTCCTTGACCCAACTCCAAAGCAAGAAAGATGGTTGTGGGCTACATGGTTAGACCCAATCAGGAGAACCCAACCCAAGGCCAGGTTAAAATCGTCATTGTCACTAGTGGTTTGCTTATGTACACATAAATTAATAATACAAAAATGGTTAAACTTAGTGACATGATTAATGTTTCTTGTGTTTTCTTATTCATCAAAAAATTTAGATTTTTTTTGAAAAAATTAAATTTTTTGATGTGACATTATTTTGGTTACATCACACGAATATTTTTCACAATAATTGATTATTTTGTTTTAAATAATAAATTTATTTTTTATTAATTATAATTATAATAATTTTTTAAAATAATTACAATTATAATAATAATTTATAATCCAGAAAGCATAAAATTTAGCCGTTGAAAAAATAAATTGAGATTTTAAAAAACCCCAAATATGCAACCAATTAATAAAAAAAATCACGATAACCTACTACTTAATCAAAATTACGTCACATCATTGAATTTATCGATTGAATATTTACACGGTTGATGATTGTTCTCAATCCAATATTTAATAAAAATACAAAGATTAAATTAGCTGAAATGGAGACGAATTTTCAACCTATTTGCTTGTAAACATCATTAGTTCATTAATTTAACCTAACCATTTGATCTAGAGTTTTCTTACCAAATCTCTATATATTATTTTCCAAGTCAATGTAAACAGTAATACTTCATGTCATCTTGCGTATAATTTTCAATTTTCAGGCACTTACACAGCCGATTTATCCTCTCAATCATGGCGAAGATCCTCCTAAAACTCTCCTCCACTGTCCCCTTCGTCCTCACAATTCTCTCATTCTTCTCAATCTTCGCCATCATAGAATCAAAGCCTTTCTCCCGAAACCTATCCCCATCATCCCTAGCGCTGAAGAGAGAGAAACTAAGCCACCTCCACTTCTACTTTCATGACATAGTCATTGGTAAAAACCCAACCTCTATCACTGTAGCCCAAGCACCCACAACAAACGCCTCGTCACCCTTTGGTGCGGTGGTGATGATTGATGACCCTTTGACGATCAACCCCGATTTCAACTCCAAACTTGTTGGCAAAGCACAAGGGATTTATGCTTACACATCACAAACTGAAGTTAGCGTATTAATGGCATATAACTTTGCTTTCATGGAAGGGAAATATAATGGCAGCAATCTTAGCGTTTTGGGGAGTAACTCGGTGTTGTTTCCTGTCAGAGAATTGCCGGTCGTTGGTGGGAGCGGGGTTTTCAGGTTTGCTCGTGGCTATGCCGAAGCAAGGACTCATTCATTTGATTCCAAGACCGGGAACGCTGTTGTGGAATATGATGTCTATGTTTTTCATTATTAATAAATGAGCTAATCTGTTTGCTATTTGATTGGATTTTCTCTCATTTAAAGCACCGGCTTTGCCTTTGTTTGATCACATTTATGTCAATAAAAGTTAATTAAAATCATTTATAGCTATTAAAAAAGAATTGAATTGATTTTTATGGTTAATCAGCCTTTTTTTTTTTTTTTTGGAAACCAAAATCTAAAGGATAATTGGGAATGAAGTTTGTAAGTGTTAGAAATTAAATGCAAGTGTTGTGAGAATCCAAAAATTGATTATTATATGTCTCAGTTGTGGGGAAATGGATGAGAATGTCGCTACTAGAAAAATAAAAATAAAAAATAAAAAATAACCTTTACCATTAGAATTTTTTGTCGGATTGATTCCATTTGTTTCGTATAAAATAATTTATGAAAATTGATTTTTAAAAAATATTTATATTTTATAAATTGAAAAATATTTTTTGTTATTTAGATGAATTAATAAAAAAAATTTTCGTTGTTTGGTTATTTTTTGAAAATTTTTTGAAAATAATATTAATTTAACTATTAAAATATTAAAAATTATTCATTATTAAAATATATTGAAATTAATTATTATTTAAATTATTAATATTAAACAATAATTAAATTTTAATAATAATATTTAATATTAAAATATTATGTTAATATAAAAAATACTTAAAATAAAACTACTTATTATTCTTTATATTTATTCATATAATATTATTTATTAATATATTATAATATAATATTAGTTATTTATTAATATAATATTATAATATTATTTATAAGTAAAATTAATACTCACAAATTTTGATAAATAATTATACTCATAGACAATTATTTTTCGAAAAATATTTTTCTTTTTTCAAATTCATAAGACAAATTTTACAAAAAAAACCTCATTTTTCATTAACCAATAAATCATTTTTCGTTAACCAATCAATTTTTTATTAAACAAATATCTAAAAATATAAAAATTATTTTTTGAAAATCATTTTTCACGAAATAAACAGAACCTAATATTTCGTTGGTATTAATATTAACGATAGATTTAGCAACCAAAAAATTTCATCTGTGATAACTAAGTCAATAATATTATTCTATCGATAATAAATAAAATTCATTGGTAAATATCAATATAATTATTACTTACATATTTATCAAGAAAAATTTTTATTGATAATTACCGATGGATTTTATTGACAATAAAATCTGTTGATAATAAGCTTCAAAATTATCACAAAATGTTGATAATAAGCTTCAAAATTATCACAAAAAAATTTTTTTTATCAATAATCCTTCAGTAATAATCAAATTTTCGCCAATAATAATGAAATTCCATATTAATTTCGTCAATAAAATTATAGTTTCATTAATAATTTAAATAAAAATTTTTATAATTATTCAAAAAACCTATAATTATTTAAGAAATCTGTAAATTACAATTTAAACATGTGTAATTACTTAGATATTTTATTATTATTAATTAAAATATCAAATCCAGATAATATCCATCAAGCATCTATCAAATACATCATCAAAGATCCATAGAACATCCATAGCATCCATAAAACATCATAAAATATCTATCCATAAAACATCAATAACATTCATCAAATACTTCATTCAAATCAAAAAAATAATAAAAAAAAATCACTATGCTACTACTACACCTCTTAATCCATAATCATCGTTGTTGTTATCAAGTTTGGAAAATTGTGATGGTAGTCTAGACTTCATCAACTGCATCATTTGATCCACGAATAACCTAAGCTCTGCCTTCAGCTTAGCCCTCAACTTATCAATTCGTTTGTCTATCTGAGGCTGACGAGCTTGAGAAAGCACATGTGATGGACCATAAACGAAGTGAGATGATTCTGCTGCAGCAATGAACTGAATTGAGTGAAAAAGGTCCCTAGATCTATTTGCTGATCCAAAACTATATACACTAGTGTGTGTAGCTTCAACCCCTCCAATAGCTTTAGTCCATGCTTGTGGATCAAAGTCTAGATGATTGGAACAGTCTTCACTGTATTTCTAAGATAATGCAACAACATAGTTTTTCTACAAAAATTTTAAAACAATAATCACTACCATAGTACCTATATAGTTCACTAAAATATCACAACTTCAAACAATTTATAACGTCAATATTTGATTGTTACATACTTTACAAAGTCATTGCATTTCAATATACATAAAACATTATCTAGTTAAATACAAGATTTCTTACAATGTTTTGGCCTTCAATTACTTCACTATATACTTCATCAAGAATCACAATACACAAACAAAATTACAAATGAAAATACACAATAATTTTCACCTTTCAAAAATATGATCTTATCTAGATACGTAAAAACCTTTTACAAATAACTAGTCATCATAATACACTATTAACATAGTTCATCGATAATCACAATAAACAACCATCAGACTAGTGTAAAATACTAATATACGATAAAGATAGTTGATCAACAATCATAGTACACAACCGTCGTCATATTTCAAAATACGCAAAAATTTTTACATTTCACAAATATCATCTAATCGCAATACACTATAAAGATATTTAAGCAACAATCACAATACACAACCACAATCACAAAGTAAATTACGCAATAATTTTCACTTCTCACAAAGTCTTAGCATCACAAAAACATACAAGATATTATCAATTTCAATAAAGGCAGCAATTTTAAATTATCCAGTCATCGGATAGTCATATAAACTAACAACTCTAGACTTATTATCAACAAAATCACTACATCCTCCTGAACGTCTGTGAACGCGATTGAAAAGTTCTGTAAAGGTGGGTTCTCGTTGCAACTCAAGTGACTGCATTCATTTAGACACACTCAATGAAACATGTAACAATACAACTTATATAATTTATTGACATTTGATGATAAAAATAACTTGTGAAAAAAGATCATACCATTCTTTTTTTATGAACAGGAAAAGCAACTGATCCACCAGTGTGCTTCGTAATAATTCTTTCTTTTTGTGTTCCACATTTTGTTTGGCTTCGGCGGAGATGTTTTGTCATTTGGGAATGCTCCATACATTCTTAATAAGAGTATCCCAAATCGGAGCTGTGATCCATCTCTGTTTCATACATCTGCAATCTATGATGTTATCAACTCCACGCTCTTTTATTGTCAATTCTCTCTCATCAAACAATAAGTCTTTCAATCTATTTTTTGAAATATTGTTCCATGTTCATTGAACAAGATCATCATCCGACTCAACCCACTGATATTTTTCCTAACATAATAAATATGAATATAATAAGTCGTTGACAATAATTTGAACTTCCAATTCAAATCAAATAAAAATATATACCAAAAAACATATCCATTTACTACTTTAAATTTATTAAACATCATAAACTTAACTGACGTAGGTACTTTACCTCATGTTGGCCAAGAATCAGTATAATTCGCTTGAATTATTCCTAAAATTGTTGAGTTAACTAATGATTGCTCAAAACAACTACCAACATCCATTTGTTAGTAAGATTAGTTTAATTGAACGCATTTATTAAAAAACAAATAACAATAAGAAAACAATTAATACTTTTCTCCTAACGGAGTAATCCACACTCACTTCTTTGGATTTGTAGGAGTTGGTAACCCTTTGTTTGCCTCTTAGTCCTCTGCCTAGTTGTTGTCCCTTCTTTTTCTCCAACTAGTGGATCATTGGCTAATCTTGGATTGACGTCATGCTCCGTCGATGGATCATCCATCATCAATGTTGGAGGTGACCAATATAGTTGATCATACTGCATCTGTGCTGACGTTGACCCATATGGTGGATTATGCTATATCGGTTTGATGATGACTCGATATGTAAATCAGCTCTCATGGATCTTACTCTATAACCACTTCGATTAAGAGTACTTTTTGCACGACGTCTCATCATAACTGTCATATAGAACAAAAACATTTCATAAGTATCCCAATAACACAAAGAAAAAAATACACATTTATAATATTACTTTAGTAAGCAAGATTAAATGAAAAGAGTCATTACTACAATCTATAATTTTCAATTAATATACATACTTTCTTATTATAAACAAAATTAAAGGATTCCATCATAACATGACCAAATTGATTGATAATGGTATCTAGAAATAGAACTAGAATGATTCAATTGCAGAAACAAATTTTATTTTCAAATCTCAAAAGGTATTTTCCAACTTGCATAAACACCAACTATTTAACCTCCTTTTTTTTATACATATAAAAAACCATTGGGCTTGAGCTACACATTGAGTGGTAGAGGTCTTACGTCCCATAACCCCTAAATTCCATCACCTCAAGATTCAAACATGAAACCTCCAAATTGAAAATTCAAGTTCTAAACATTAAACGTATGCCCTTATTATTATTTTTTTTAAAATTGTGGCTTAGATATGAAAAAGTAAAGCATAGTAACACTTTCTAACTAGTCTAAGCTTGGAAATAATGGTTATCAAATCTCAACTAAAGGTTTACAGCTTTCCAGTATAAAAACAAAAAACCATGAGCCTTCTGCTCAACCAAAAGACCAATAACATAGGCAAGTAGCCCTAAAGTACAAATGAGAACATTAGGTTATATATATATATTTATTTATTTATTTATATATATATTTATATGTTTCTTCCCATTTTCTGTTTTAGTTTGAAAGTAAAACAAAAAAAAAAAAAGGAATTAATTAAAGAAAAGATGATCCAAAGAGGAGGAAAAGAACTGACCACTACAGTAGCATCATGTAAAACTGAAGTAAATGCCCATTCAGCTTTGTCCTGTTAAAAATAAATAAATTAATAAACAAAATCCAGTAATCAAATCTTTTGAGTTACAAAACAGAGAGAAAAAGAAAAAGAGAGAGAGATGAATCGATTACGGAATCAGGGTTTAAGAGACAGAGTCAACGAGGGCAACAAGCGTAACCTAAACCAGGGTTGATGGTTTGATCATGGTACAGATTCTCATTCCTTAGTTTTTACTCGTATACCTCTCTCGTCCTATATCCCAAACTCCCAAACCTTCTCTTCTTAAATTTTGATTTCTGTCCTATTTTCCCAGCTCCCAACTCCAACCCAGAACTCAGAACATATTGCTTTCGATCTTTCTGTCGTGTTGAACCTGAATGCCACCTGTTTTGGGTTGTGACTTTTTATAGACCAACTTTTCCTATAGATCTCCTTGGCCCAATTCCTAAGCAAGAAGGAAGGTTGTGGGCTACATGGTTAGACCCAATCAAGAGAACCCAACCCAAGGCAAGGTTAAAATCGTCATTTTAATTACTGGTTTGCTTATGTAAACATAAATTAATAATACAAAAATGTTTAAGCTTAGTGACATGATTAATGTTTCTTGTGTTTTCCTATTCATCAAAAAATTGAGTTAGATTTTGGTTACATCACACGAATTTTTTCAACAATAATTGATTATTTTGTTTCAAATATTTTTTTTAATTTTTATTAATTATAATTATAATAATTTTTTAGAATAACTACAATTATAATAATAATTTATAATAATTTATAATAATTTATAATCAAGAAAGCATGACAAAAAAGTAGTATTTAGCCCCTTGACAAAAAAATTTTAAGATTTTTAAACACCAAAATATGTAACCAATTAACAAAAAAGCCACAGTACCCTGCCACCTAATCAAAATTATGCCACATCACTGAATTTAACGATTGAATATGCACGCCGTTGATAATTGTTCTCAATCCAATCTATAGCATCTATAAAAGTAACCCCTGAATCTCAATTTTCTGTACAGGTCACCAAAATAATTAAAAATGATTGATGGATAAATTTGGTAAAATGTTCGAGAATATGTTGTTTTTCAGGGAATCAAGAAAGGCAAAAAAATTTGCTGTCTTTCTTCCACGGTTGATCTTCATCTAAACGCAACCCATTAAACCCATAAACAATCACAAAGTTAAGAATCGATCTATAATGTTACCCAGAAAACCCAACATTGTTCAGAAAGCGAAGAATAAAAAAGGATCTTCAAATATCCTGACTTGGTGGAAGTTGGTTTCTTCAAATCAGTGTTTGACAGAAAAAAGGAAAAGGAAAATTTCTTTTGTATGGTGGCAGAAAACAGAGGAAGCAAAAGGGGTTGATTTTGATTTTGGGGAGTAAATTGATGTTTTTGGGTTTCGGTCAAAAGATCTTTTACGATTTTTTTTTCTAGGAATTGGTAAAGGGAAAAAAGACTTGGCCGATCAATAACTAGAAATGGTGGTGGCGCACGGCAACCCGGTGATAGGCGGCGATAAGCGGCAAATCAGCGACGGAACTTGCCACTGAAGGTGATTTGTTTTACTGGCTTCTTCTGGTTTCAGGTAAGTTTTCTTTGGTTTTTAAATCATGGGTTTTATTTTACGACGCAGGTTCAGACGATAAGGAGATGTGTAAGGAAGTACGAACTCAGAAGAACCTTGGGTTAAGGGAGTTTTGCAAAGGTTAAGTTCGCTAAGAATGTTGAGACCTGCGAGTATGTGGCTATTAAAATCCTGGACCGTGACCAAGTTTTGTGTCACCGAATGGTCGAACAGGTAAAAGTGCCCCTTTTAGTCTCTTCCATGCATGTAAACAACATTAAAAGAAACAAAAAAGTGGGACCATCGCTAACACCAATCTTTAGTGTGGGTTCCACTGCTCAAGCGTCGGGTTTAATTGAATTTGGGTTATGATTAAATTTTGTTGCCAAATGAAAGTCTTTGGTTAATTTGTTTTGACTTTTTAATAAACTATTCAAGCATTAACATTTTTGAGCTTTTTTTTTTTTCTTTAATGATGATTTTATTGGGGCAGCTAAAGAGAGAAATATCAACTATAAAGCTTATCAAGCATCCCAATGTTATTAAGATATACGAGGTAAATAAACTAATCCCTGAATTATGGTGTATTATTTATTCAGTTAAGTATTGCTGATGATAATATTTAATTGAAATTTCTGTGCTTCGAATGCATTCTGCATAGGTTATGGCAAGCAAGACAAAGATTTATATCGTGATCAAGTTTGTTGATGGATGCAAGCTTTTCCACAAAATTGTAAGAAACCGTCATTAATTTACTTAAGGATATTTATAGTTTAATGAACATGTTTTTTTTTTTTAATTTATAACCGCTCATGGAGTTTTTGTTTGGTTGTATAATAAAAGAGTAGTAGGTTGTTTATTGTTTATGGTATTAAAAATCTTTTATGTTTGTTGTAGGCCAAGCGCAGAAAACTCAAAGAGGACGAGGCTAGTAGCTATTTCCTTTAGCTTATTAGTGCTGTTGATTACTGCCATAGTAGAGGCGTCTACCATAGAGATTTGAAGGTTTGGAGTTTCTCTTTATTAACTGATTAATGAGTTGTTTCAAAGTTTTTGACTTGGGAAATTGGAGAAGTTTCTTCAATGTGGGTTCTACTTCCTAATTCATACGTAATCATCCATATTCCTTTTTTGCAGCCTGAGAATCTTCTTCTAGATTCCTATGGTGTTCTTAAAGTTTTAGATTTTGGATTGAGTGCTTTCTCAGAGCAAGTTCGAGTAAGTATGTACTTTTTCATTTTTGTATTGAGTGCTGGATTGAGTGTTGGATTTTATGTACTTGATTGAGTGCTTTATCACAGCAAGTTCGAAGTTGAGAATCCGAAAAAGAGTTTGGTATTAAATTATTCCCCTTTGATTTTTCATTAATCTTTGCCCCCTTTTTTTGTTTAGGGTTTCAAGTAAAAGGGGATCTGATTTTTATGATTGAATTCTTTGTGCATGATTTATTAGCTGATCTGATTTGCTTCAAATGGATTGATATTTGTTCACACTTTGCTGAAATTAAATTTGGTATTCCTTTTTCTCTTCTTCAAAGTTCAAGTTGGGATCTTTTGCTATGATTTATTGACAAATTTGTCATTTTATGCATGTATGATTTATGGTATTATATAAAAACCGCCACTGTAATTTTGCCTTCTATAGCAATCTCGGTTTAACTGCTTGATCGTTGTTAAATTTTGTTATTAATTGTTGCTCTTATTTAAATATTCTTCTTTGTAACTTTGCAGGTTCAAGCAGTTGCTTCGAATCATCATTTGCCACAGTTTTTTAGTGGATCTTTTGATCGTTCAATTGTCATGGTAATTAAATTGTTTACTTGCTTAGAATTTGTGCATACTTTCTGCTGTCCTACTGAAGCAATTTATATTTGGTTTTTCTTCCTAAATTGCTTTCAAGTATTGGGACTTACACTTTTGCCATAGTTATACATTGCAGAAGGATGGGGGAGTACCATCTCATTCTGGTTTTAAGTGGTCCTTCACTGCTGAGGTTGAATGTCTGGCGTGGGATCCACACACTGATTACTCATCCATGGTGTGTGCTTCAGCCTTTTACCTAGGCTAATAACTTCTCAGAGATGCTGCTGCATTCATTTGATTTCTTCCATTTAGAAACAGAGAAAGGCTAGCTTTGTTAAAGGATGCATGTTAAGATAATTTTAGTTTTAATCAGGTGAGTCTTGAATATGGTACAGTCGGAGGTTATGATATTCGTGCCACAATAAAGTTTTACTCTCCATGCACATGACAAAGCTGCTTGCACCCTTTCAAATAATCCTGTAGCACCAAACATATAAACCTATGTCTATTTCTCATTCCTTGGTCAGGTTATTTATTTCATGTGCATGACTTGTTTTATTTATTTATTTTTACAGCTCCTTGCAACTAGATCCATGGATGAAAAGGTAAATTAAGGTTTTCTTTTAGTGCTTTCATGTGTAAAGTTATGAATATAGTTTAGATGGTTTCATTCATTGATCTTTATTTGCTGCAGGTATAACTTTGGGATTTGTCTAATAATTCAAGGAATCCTAAAGCAGTAAGTGTGATTTAGAGGAAGTAATTGAGAAGCCATGTGTTGTTTTTTGACTACTCCAAAACGTATTCATTCTCACGTAATGTTGTGAATGTTATTGGAGAACTGTCTTTTCCACTTCTCACATGATAATCCTTTTTTCTGGCTATGGAGGCTCAGGGGGAAAATTGGGAGTGATTGGAAAATCTTGCAATATTAAAATTTTACTATTAATGAAATTTGGTAGCATTAAATGCAGGTGTGATTAATATTACTATCATGCAGATTTGGGATACATTATCTGAGACAACCGTCAGCAGGAAAATTTGGTAACTATAGCCAGTCGAACAGACCCAAAACTTACATTTCCTTTTCTTTTCTTTCAGCATGATTTGCTGTCTCAAATTCCAGCTTATGGAATTGGATGTGTAAAAGAGAATGTTTGGTTTCAGGTGGAGAATATTGTGGTTATTGGATATAGCTGCTGTGGTGGTATCAAAGGGCCCATGTCTATTCCAGACGATGAAACCACTGCTAGGTAAGACCTCTATCATTGTGGCATAAAAGCAAATTTATCATATTTAAAACTCTTCTTAGATCTTCCAAGTTCTCCATATGCTTTTTTTTTTTTTTGGAGAATCTCAATAAAATAATCAAAATATACTTTAAATTAAGGAACAGATAAATAAAAAAATCAAAAGTTATTTTAGTATTTTGGCCTTTCAGTCTCAGAATCTCAATAGTTCCCACGTGATATTACTATATACTTTCTTTGATGAATTATCAATAACTAACAATTATAAGCTGATAAGAGAGTAGGAAATGCATTTTTTTTCTTGTGGCACCACATCCTTGGAGTTATTTAAAATGGTAAACAAAGCAAGGGAACAACTTTTGAAAAGTTGAACTTTCATCTTGCTTTTGGGTTTTGGAACATGCCAATACAAGACATTGGGATTCATTTTTGGGCTTTTATATAATCATATATTAACGAGAACTTTGTTAAAAATGGCTGCTTCTGTCTGACATTTTCCTTAATACAATATGTTTTAAACCTGTTTTTCTTGTGACAATGTTATATATGAACTTGAAAGTTTATGCCTGATTTTTGGGTCCCTTTCTCTCCTTTTGTAGATACTTTAGCATATAAAGGATGCCTGAACAAATTGAAGACTAATGAAGGTTTATAACTTATTACTTTTTTTTTTTTCAATCTATGCATGAATTTAAACTTTGAAGTGATTTCATAGAACAATGGGTTATTATTTGTGCACTTGCAAAGACCAAGGTGAAATCAGAATATAATGGGCTGAGTTTCTCAGAGCAATGCACCAACTGCAAGAAGATGACATACATGCGTATATCATTACATTTTATTTTGCACTCTTACAAATTAATGTTTGATATTGTTTTTGTTTTCAAACTAATACAGGAGGCATTGAATGTATTTCTAGGAAACCTATTGACATATTCATTTGTGAGAGAGACTGTGGCGAAGAACACCATTATCTTGAAAGGTGCACATTGCTTCATTACTTTTCAAATTTATTAGATTGATTTTATTTTGATTTTTTTTATTATTTATATTTTAGTATACTGTTTTTTATATTTTAAATTTTTAATTATATTAAAAAAAAAAACCGTAGCAACAGTCACCATACTAGTATTTAATAAAATTATAAAGATTAAATTTGCTGAAATTGAGACCAATTTTCAACCTCTGTGCTTATAAACGTTATTACTTTATTAATTTTAACCAATCAATTTGATATAGGATTTTTCTACCAAATCTATATATATTATTTTTGTAACAGTTAGTTAATTAGGTACAACTAAACCAATTTTTCCAAGTCGATGTAAACAGTACTTCAAGTTATATTGCATATAATTTACAACTTTCAGGCACTTAGAACATATTTATCCCCTCAATCATGGCGATCCTCGTAAAACTCTCCTCGACTGTCCCCTTCGCCCTCACAATTCTCTCATTCTTCTCAATCATCGCCATCATAGAATCAAAGTCTTTCTCCCGAATTCTACCCCCATCATCCCTTGGGCTGAAGAGAGAGAAACTAAGCCACCTCCACTTCTACTTTCATGACATAGTCGTTGGCAAAAACCCAACCGCTATCCGGGTAGCCAAAGCACCCACAACAAACGCCTCCTCACCCTTTGGTGCGGTGGTGATGATTGACGACCCTTTGACGATCAACCCCGATATCAACTCCAAACTTGTTGGCAGAGCACAAGGGATTTATGCTTTAGCATCACAAACTGATTTTAGCTTGTTAATGGCATATAACTTTGCTTTCATGGAAGGGAAATACAATGGCAGCAATCTTAGCGTTTTGGGGCGTAACTCGGTGTTTTCTCCGGTCAGAGAATTGCCGGTCGTTGGTGGGAGCGGGGTTTTCAGGTATGCTCGTGGCTATGCCGAAGCAAGGACTCATTCATTTGATTCCAAGACTGGGAATGCTGTTGTGGAATATAATGTGTATGTTTTTCATTATTAATAAATGAGCTAATCTGTCTGCTCTCTGATTGGATTTTTTCTCTTTTTAGAGCACTAAGTTTGCCTTTTGTTTGATCACATTTACGTCAATAAAAGCTGTTAGGAATTGAATGTCACGTGACGTTAGAATCCAAAATTTGATTATTACAACTGATGATCATGATCAGTAATGTGATTTGCCTCTACCGTTCAGGCTTATTTTAAATGTAAAAAATTCTTTCAAATCTCAACTCTAAAGCTCTACTTTGCTTGTTAATGATGCTTAACTTTGCTTTAACGGAAGGCAAATATAATGGTAGCAATCATTGTGTTTAGGGACATAATAACGCGAAATTGGAGGGGGGGACGATAAAATTAATTTTAATAATAAAATTAAATATTATAAGATTAAAATTAATAATAAAATATATGTTTAGATATAAACACAATTGTGATGATAAGATAAGACGTAGTGAAAAGAAAAAAAATTATTGTAGACATTATACACAAATTTTAATTGTTAGATATTTTGAAATTAATAAGAAATTGAAAATTATTAAAATTATTTTTATTTATTTATTCATTAAATTATTTGACATATTTATTTATTAATAATTTATTTCATTATAAAATTTATTATTTTTATGTATTTATTAATTTTTAGTTATTTATTTATTCATTACTTTATTATATAATTATTAAAAAATTATTTATTTATATTAATTTAAAAATTATTTAAGAATTATTAAATAAAAAATGGAAAAGAAAAAGGTTAAATAGTATAGTTATTTTTGTCTTTACATTATATTTGTAAGGAAAAAAAAAAACAAAATAATAAAAAGCAAGGTTATAAATATATTGCTATTAAAATAATCATAATATAATAATGAAACTATGAAAGTAGAGTTTAATTAATAAATTAGCCCGATTTTGTTTTATTTCATGGTAATTGGTCTTTAGTTTATATATAATTTCGTGTTTAATATAACTTTTGTTTTTTTAATATAATTTATACATTCTATCACATAAAAAAAAATTGATTTTTAGTGCCAACTTATAAGAGGTAATTTATTAAAATTTTGGTTAAAAATAGCTTTTAACAGCAATTTAAATTTTCTTGTCACTGAATAGTATAATTTAGTCACGTTTGTTTCTGATTTGTCACTCAAACATATGAAAAAGAAAAAAAATTTGTGTCGACTTATTAATGAAAAATGATAAAAATATCCTTTAATAACATTTTGAATTTTCTTGTCACCTATAGGATATGATTAACTTAATCATATTGTTTTCAGTTTATCATAAGTAGAGGTTTTATGGTGTAATATAAACATTGGATGTCAAATGCAAAGATCATGAATATGATTAGATCTTTTGGTCATTGAATAATAACTGATACATAATTTTGTAGTTAACGAGGAAGGAGAGTGTATCAACGTGTCACCTCTCCCTTATTTCATTCCTTTTTTTTTTATTTAATTCATTTTTTGTTTTTTATCATTTAATTTTTTTATTTTATTTATTAGATAAATTTTATTATAAAAAAAAAAAGATAAAAAAAAAGGTAGAGATAATAAATCAATTTGTATTTAATTAATTTTGGTTGGTATCAATCCAATATAGATGTTTTTCTTTTAAACTGAGATCGGATCAAGATTTTTTTTTTCTTTTGAAAAAGGAGAAAGGATGGAAACGGAATTAAGTTATTTTACCCCATCTTGGGTGTTTATACGGCACATTCTTCAATTTTTTTTTTTCATTTTCTTTGTTTTCTTTTTTTTTTAAGTTTTTAGGTTTTAGTTTTTTTTTAAAAAACTTTTTTACTTTTTCTTTTTATTAGATAAATCTTGTACCAAAAAAGTTAATAGAGAAAAATTTGTATCCGATGTATTTCAATTTATTTTGATCTAATTGATGCATTTTTTAAAATTTGGGATAATTGAGTCAAGGTTTTTTTATTTTTTTATCAAGCTTGATTAAGGCTTTAAGTGTTACACCTCAGTCTTGGTATGTGTGTATATATATATATATATATATAATATTTTATTATTTATTTAATTTTATATTTATATATATTATTAAAAATTTTATTTATTAGATAAATTTTATAAAAAAAATTAATAGATGTAGATGATAAAACAACTTATATTTAATATGTTTTGATTTGTCACGATCCATTCAATGTGTTTTTTTTAAATAAGGATTGAGTTAAGTTTTATCTTTTTGAATAATTTGGCTCAAGTCAAGATCGGATTTGAGGTGTTCTATCTTGACCTTCCTCGGGATAATAAAATAATATTTTTATTATTTATTTAACATTTATTTTTATATATGTATTATATTAATAAAGATATTATTTAATAACTTAATTTAATAAAAATTATATTTATATATAATTAAGTTATAATTTATATTAAAAAATAAATACACTTATATTTGTCTATATGTTAGATCTATTAAAATTTGATATAAAAAATATACTTCTTTCATATTTAAAATATGAACTAAAAAATTAAAAAATTATCCTTCAACGAAGCGCAGATTTAATTCTAACAAATATAAAAAATATTATGATTTTTTGTACCCATAGATTTGTTTTGGTCTTTTTTTAGTTGTTTTATTACACCATGTTCCGTTTCTTTATTTCTTTTATTATTTGTGATACATGGTCAATTCTTGAAAGAAAAGAAATTGTAATTATTAAAACTAAAATTTTTTCAACAAAGTTAATGAAAAATGCTTATCAATTTTTTAATCATAATTGTAAAGTTGTGCATAAGGAGATTATTTTTTTCTTTATGGAAGAAAAGATGAATTTGAAACTTTGAAGACTCATTTTCTTTATCAAAGGAAGGGTTAGTATTATTAATGATATTTAAATTATAGTAAAACATTTAATGTAATATTTGAATTTAAAAAAATTTTAATATAGTATTTAAATTATAAATCTATAGATAAATGTGTTACTCAGAGCGATTAGTTGCAAATGCTAATATGTAACAAATAAAAAAATTTTCGAATAACATATTAGTCAATAGATTTATAATTTATATACCACATTAGAAATGCTTAAAATTGAAGTACTAAATTGAACATTTCATTATAATTTAAGATTATTTATGACAATATCTCTTAAAAAGAAAATAATTTTGAAATTCTAAACTCATTTTTTTTCTACACATACACTTTTGATTATTGTTGATGGTGTTTTTAGGTGTCTTAACTAGAAGGAAAAAGGTGAGGTGTAAATGAAGAACAGTTGTGACCTGCAACCAAAGAACATGGTCAGGGGTGACTGTGGTGCTGGAGTTGTTACTCCAGGGCATGTTTCAATGCTCAAGTCAATATATTACTTGAGATAGGAGAGAGATATAAGTAAGGGAGATTAAGATGATGAGGTGTGTGAGAAAAGCTTCAATGAAGGAAAACTCAAAGTGTACATAGTAGGATTAGGTATTCTCTTAATTACTTGCCCGATCTTCTAATTAACTTATGTTTGAGACAGAAAGGGTGATTTAACTAAGATAATTTAAAGTTGATAGGGCTAAAATAGCTGACAGTTAATAAAATATTTGAGTAAAATTCAAAAAATGATCACATAGATAATTACTAATCATATTTAATGATCTCAAGTAAATTGAATGTCAAGTGATCAGTTCTAAAGTAATTGCCTTGACTTGATTTCAGTGAGACCGTAGGCAAGTCTTTCATTTGACAACGAGCGAGCCAATTCCTGAGAGGAAGATAACATGGCTGTCTGGGCAACCCAAAGGCATAGTTACATTGACCAAGCTTTGACCATTGAACAGTTGATTTATGCATAATGACTGCGCCTTAGGTTTGAGGGAGGTTATAAAGTGACCGCACTCGAACCGTTGTCCAAAGTTTGATAAAAAAAAAAAAAAAAAAAAGAAATAGGAGAAAAAGTGCTTTGGTGAGGGGTTTTTGTCGCTTGGCAAGCTTGGCATGATGACGTGCCATGTTGGGATGCAGTGATTGTTTTCAGATGAGCTTGAAGTTGCCTGTGATTTTGAGGAAAACGATTGGACAGGCCACGTGCCGTGCTAGGAATAGAGAGCCATTTCTTGCAATTATTAGTTATAATTCTGAAAATATATATGTTTTTATAAGGGAATGAATGTTTTGATTTTGAAAAATAGGTAACCGAAGGGTTGTTTAAGGGGGGGTTAACGTAGGTTATTCCAGAATCAATTAAAACGATTTACAGAGGTGCCATTTCAAAGGTGTCATTTCACACTTGCCCTTTTGGCTAGACATAAATTGGATACTTAAGAAAAATTTTAGCCTTCACCTTTGCTATTTATTTTCAAGAAAGAAAAAGTTTGTGATTCCTGTTTTTTGTGCTTGTTCTTCGTGTTCTTGCAAACTTTAAAAATTTTCTTTTACTGGGTAAGGTTTTTGCAGTTCTTTATTTTACTTCTATTTAGTATTTGGGTTATTTGAAGAAAAGAGAGAATTGGCACCAAGAGAAGAATTGTGATTAAAAGTTCCAATGTGGATAATGAGGTTATCCAGTCACCAATGCCGGCAGCCAGATTGGGAAGGGAAACACACAGAAAGCTCAGAAAAAAGATGAGGGTAGCCAACCTAGAGGTCATGAAGGCCAAAGGAGTTAGGCTGGTGGTAATCACAATGGAAGTATAGTGATTAGAGAGGGGGAACCCTTAATGCTTGTGCTACGGTTGGTGTTCCTGCTGATGGGCGTGGGCAGTACAAGGGAAAATGAGTTGATATAGATGAGCCAAAGGATTTGGTGCTAGGTTCATGGCCTCCAAATGGTTATGCTTGTCATGCTACTAGCGCGATGATGGAGCACGAATTGGATCATGCGATGTTTGACCGCAACGATCCTATATAAGAAATTACCCTGCCTCCTCGAAGGTTCACTATCAACCAAGTAGGATAGTTTGGAGGCATTACAGGGTTTTATCTGCACAACTTTCATTATGGGTTCCATCTACATCTACTATTGAACTCATTCTTTCATTTATTATTAGCCACCTTTAATGTTGCTGCCAATCAACTCGCGCCAACCACTTGGGCCATTTTGGTGATGTACCTCATTCATTGCAAGTTAAATGAGTGGGTGCCCTCAATGAACGTGATTCTGACATTGTATATGTTGAATGAAGCTTATAGCTGGTTGCACTTCTTACAAGTTCAGGACAAAGCGATTGTTAT